GCCCAGCTGTGGCACTGACTAACAATGCCCAGGGCACTGCTCAGGGTGGTGCCAGTTTGGATGGTGTTCTCTGTACAGCACTGTCCTGCCTCAGGAGCCTCCAAACCTGCACGACGTGGGGCTTGTGGAAAGCTGCACCCCAGCCATGGGAGGGAAGCCCCTTCTTCCCTCTCCTGGCCTCAGCTGGGCATCTCTCCCTCCCTCCCCACCCCAGCTACTCAGGTGGGGTAGGGATGATAGTTCCTCATCCCCTGGGGGAGTTCATCACCATTTCTTATGCCTCATGCATACGGGGTGAAGTGACAAAAAGCCCAGATAATCAAATTATTAATGCCAGCACAAGCCTCCAGAAATGCTACCCAAGCCAGTGGAGTTGCTCCAATATGACACCAGTCTGGACCTCCTGGCAACCAAGCACTGACCAAGGTGGGCTGTCAATCCCTGACCTTCTGCTGGTACCTCAGGGCTCCAACCTTCGCTCCCTGTGCCAACACACAGGAGCCGGTCGGGCTGTCCCCTAAAGTACTCACAGCCTTTGCAGGCACGATGAAATGACAGAAAAACAAAAACAAGGAGTAAAAAAGTCCCACAGAGATGAAGCTGACACCGGAGTGGTGGCCAGGCTGGATTCTGGCTCCTGGGCTGGGCTCACAGCACACAGCCTGCTCGGTGCAGCAGTGACAGGAGCACTGCACCTCCTCCTCAGGCTGGGCTCGGATTCCATGCAATCATCACCCCAATTTTAATCAATCTGGGGACATATTGCTCCCTTACAACTATAATTAGAGCTCAGCTGAATATCTTTTTCCAGCACTATGAACTCCAAGGTTATTTAACAAGACCAAATCAATCGGCTTCCTTAACGTTCCACCTGGAGTTAACATGTACAAAAAGGAAGTTATGAGAGGAGAAATATGCAAAGACTGCAGTCTTTCCCAGAGTCCTTTCCTACCCCCTCTTTGCCACAGTGATGGAGGCAGTCAGCACTTTTTCTGCAGATCAATACTGCACGTGAATGTGACCACCACTCCAATTACTGCCTCAATTACTCCTGCACACCTACCCCCTCACTGAAAAAACACCCTGCAAGTGCTGCCCCTTGGAATGGCACCTGTGGGAAATCATTAACCCACTAATTTGAAATCAATTTAAAGTCCATTTGCCTAATGACATGAGCACTGTAAATTATCTATCAATTGTTAATTTATGAGAAAATGACATCAGAATTTTTGTTTTATTAATTGGCTTTTCCAGATGCAAGTTATTCCTAAAGCTTCATAATCTATGTCTCTCGGTGAGCAAACATTAAAACCTGCTTAATAAGACAACTTTTATGCCAAGAGAAAGAGCAAAATGAGTAAACCAGCTCTCGTGAACACTTCAGTATAAGGGTTTATGCATTCATCCTAGCAATTAGAGAAGGAGAAGTCATGGGGAGATTGAAAAAAAGGTCCTTTGAGTGTCTGTTCACGTTCGTGAACAAAATTGGTTCCAACCACATTTGCATTTTTCAGAAGCAAAATTCCTCCGAGTGCAGAAACCAACAGCAGCCCAGGTCACCTCTCCCATCATCCTCGTGCCTCCTTGGCAAGGGCTCAGCCAGGCACAGGCTGAGCTGAGAACCCACCTCTCAGCAAATATTTGAGTGACTTGACTCGCTGGCCAAAGCATTTGCAGGAAATGATTGTCAGAGCCTGTGTCCAGGGACCACAGTGTGATTTCATTGCTGATATGGTGGTATTGGAGACTAACTTTTCCTACCTATTCCTAGTGTAGGAGGGCAGAGACCTTCTTCAGATAATTTTCTTGTTATTCCACGTACCCAGGTCCGCAAAAGTTAAATATCTCATCACTTAACTCCTGTTTCAATCTCTGACTCCAGCTGGATCTGCATCCTCCATGTCCCATGCCATTGCCCAGCTCCTGAATTTCCCTCCTACCTCAGACAGCTGCTTGGGCACTGCTCACACACCATCCACAGCCACCCACAGAAATCAAGTCCATGTGATTTCTCTACCCCATGGTAACCAGGCAACAGGGCTGTAACTTTCAAATATTGATATTTACCAACAAAAATAACCAGTGCAAAGAAATCAGGGGTTTGACTGACCCAAAGAGCAAATGCACCCAAGGAACCTGCAGCTTAGTCCCAGACAGTCCCTGGGCATGGATCCACTGCACAGGAATTGCTTGGTCCCAGCACTCATCTTTACTGAACAGTCAGAAATAAAATCTCCAGATGCACAGTGACCTTGACAAGAACAAAAGAAGGGAGCATAATGATTTCAGCTGCAGTCTGATGTCCAGCAAATCTTTCAGCGCTGGGTTTTCCAATTTCAGTACGATTTTAAGGGAAAAGACAGTTACAGGAGACAGGTAATGGGAGCTCAGCAGAGCCAGCAGGAAGACAGCCAGGCAGCAGGGAGAGGCACTGCTCAGCAGTGCTTCAGAACCCCAGTTTCCACCTGGGAAGAAAGACAAAGCCACAGGGTCTTTCCCAGATATGTCCAGCGGTGGCTTGCAGGTCACCAGGCCAGGCTGCTTTCAGCTGTGTCTGGAGAAAGGCAAGGGAGCCCCAAAGCTGGCAGCATCACTGCTCATTCCACCATGGTGCACACACATGTGGGGTAAGCCAGCTCCACTCACTCCCTTCCTGACCTCTTTAGGACTTGATCCCAAAATCCCCCCAACCAGCACCCTGAAGAGCGCCTGTGTGCACAGAAATGAAAGCTCCATGCAGGGACCAGCCACCCTGCACTCCAGCAGCAGCCAGCACGCACAGACAGCTCCTTTTTTTTTTTGCCAAAATAGAAAGCTGCAGTCTCAAAGCTTTCCCTCTTCCATTAATGCTCTATTTAAGTTAGGCTTTGAATCTGTCTGGATTACAAACCCATCCTCTCTCAGCAAACCCCGTTCCCAGACAGCCCTCCCCTCCCCTCTGCTAAGTAGATACTAAATATAAATATATACCCTGGAGAATGTGTTGGGAAAAAGAGGACTGGGATTTTTAAAAAGCTTCCCCGTCCTTCATCTACTCAACAAACACACAGACCAAAACAGAGCTGCTTTGTTGTTTGTTTTCAGGGCTCCCAACCGAGAGCTCATCCCTGCACCGCCATTCATCACCACGGCTCCTGCTGCACAGTGAAATGCTGGGAATGCCCTTCCTCAGGGATACACCAAGCCCCTCTGCTGCTCTCCTCCAGCAGATCCCAGCCATGCCCGGGCAGGGCAGGTGATGAATACAAGCGTGTTGAAAGAAGAGCTGCCAGATGAACGCTGGCCCTATTCCCCAATCCCCTAGTGAAACCAATCCAGTCGGAAGAATTCCTGCCTGCTGATATGCTAATAGTTTAAATGAGCTTTAATTGGTTTCCCAACACTGCCCGTGCCACTCAGACACCCGCCCCAGCCCTCACTGCTGTCAGCCCTGCTGTGCCACACCTGCACCACCACCCAAACAGAGGAGATGCTGCTTCCCGTGGGGCACTTCTGCTTGTCCCACTTGTGCTCCGAATGTATTTGTTCTGGAGTGAAATCACAGCACCACCTGTTCTGATCATTTCACAGCTCCCATTTAAAAGAAAACACCCTTAGGGGGGAGGGCTGATAAGAAAAATCCAGGTCCTTGTGCTGTCTGCTCTCTTGGAAGCCGCAGGGAAGGGTGCGTGGGTGAAGGTATGTGCAGAGATCAGTGAGTCACACCCCACCCTTAGCCAGCAGCTCTCCCCCCTCTGCAGCTCCTGCTGAGCCCGGTCCAAGAGCCCAGCAGAGTCTCTGCAGTTGTGGGTAATGTACCTGCACAGGCTTGAGCTTGGCTGCTGCAGCTGCACGGACCCAGAGGTGGCTGATCAGACTCGCTCACCTCTGTCCGTCAAACAGAATTCCTCCAATTTTGTGCTGGCACTAAATGAGCATTTCATTTGTTCCAGCTTTCTGCTCAGAGAGGCTGTGGCTTACAGTGCTCCATGCAGGTCACTTGAAGCAGCAGGGTGACGTGCCTGGCCCTCAGGAGGACCTCGTCCCCACAGAAACCATCATTTTCCTCCATGGCCTTCTGCAGTACCTTGTTCCCACTCCCCCCCTGCTTCGAGCCGTGAGCTCCCACAATAGCCCAGCCCTTCTTCTGGCTGGATCAGAACAGCACCGGGCAACCCACACTGCCTCATAACGAGACAACGTTACCAAGGACAAGAGCTCTGCAGTGCTCCCAGAGAAGAAACCAGTTGTCTTTAGTTCATGCTACATCCCATGTTTTTGACCAGCCACCCCTCCCCTCTCTCCCCTCAAATTTCTCCCCCAGCCACCACACCCCTCCCAGAGAGAAGGGAGCATAACCAATAGCCTGATGCAAAAGCTGTTGCAGATAAGACACCAGAGAACCTCAGTGCTGTCTCTTCCCAGGTACAATGCAAGGCCCTGCCTAGATCCCTGTGAACAGCCTCAGTTCTATGTTTATTTTTCAGTGTGATCATCAAGCAAGACAGCAAAGTGACTCGTCACCATCCATCACGAGCTTCATTGTTTAGTAATAAGATGTATTGCCCCCTTGCAGCAAAATAACACTCCAGCCAGAGCTCCCATTTGTTATGATCTGGCTGACTGGGACAGCTGTTCGTGTCAATGCTGTAAACACTCCGTTTGGAGCAGAGACAGCGAGTTTTAACTGCTAATAAATGGGACAGGCTGCGAGCACACGTGAGGTGAGAGCCTGGTCACCATCCGCCTTCCCCAGCCAGGCTCTTGCAGCAGCTCCAGGCCAGGGCTGCAGCCACTGGCCCCCTTCAAACACAGCACAGGGAGCGTGGCTCTGCCTGCTGAGCTGTCCCAGCACCTGGTTAACCCTGCTGGGAGCTGCCACAGCACAGCCATCGGCACAGAGCACCCCCAAAATCCAGCTGTGGGTGGGCAGGGAGGGTTTGTTATGAGTCAGCTGGGTAAGGAGCTTTCTCAGCTCGAAGGAATGGGCTCAGAGCAGCAGTGCTGGAGGAAAAACTTACTTGTCTCCGTGCATCTGGAGAAGGCTGAATCTGCTTTTCTGTAGTTGGCTTTATGGCCCCAGGAGAGCAGACAGCAGAGAGGCTTTCTGGAGAGCACTGTGGGCTTCTCTGGTAGCACACAATGATAACCTGTGGAGGACAAAATTAGTGCTTAGTTGGGGGTCTCTGACCTGGCCTCTGTGCTTTCCAGGGTTAAGGCATGCTCTTCTCTCAGGTTTATCACCAGGCTGCTCAACCATAAAGCTCCAGAGCAGCAAAGGCCCAGCAAACCTGAGCCTCTGGCAGCAGCTGGAAGATGGTAACTGCATATTGGAGGGTGAGATCTGTCACCACACCAGATGCCTAAACACACACTGGAGGAGTTCAGAGTGTGATTTCTCTCCCCATGTAAAATCCAGGCCCCAAGGCAACAGCAGCCTTCCCATATTCCCAGTGCCAAGAGCCCTGGGACATGGTGAGGGTGCTACACAAGAGCCAGCTCAGCAAGGGCAGAGCCTCTGCAGGGCAGCCGTAGATGATGCACAGGAGCCTTCCAGCAGCATCCATCAGCAGATTTCACTAAGGTCACAGCCTCACAGATGTCACTTCCATTTTTACATCAGGAAAAATAAAGCTTAAAGACATACAGATGCAAAGCACTCGTGACATCTCATGGTTTGTCATCACTGTCATTCCAGGCATTCACAACAGCCTGGGTTTGTCCTTTGGCTCCCTTATAGCAGCTCCTTTGAGAGATACATGACTATGGGGGCAGAGGGCAAGTCTGCTTATTCACACCTATGTTTCTGACAAACCAGAACCCTCAGGAAGACTGCAAGGGTTAAAAAAAGAAAATAACTTAAGAAATCAGCCACCAGCCTCTGCAGCAATTGACCCCCAAAGAGCATTCATAGGAGCACTGTCCTGAGCTAGCTCAATATCATTTGAAAGCAAAATAAAAAGCTGGTCTAGCTTTCCCAGAATTCAGCCAGTCCCCCAGACTGTTTCAGCTGTCTGCAAGCAGTGCTGTGTCTCTGTGCCAGAGGACATAGACTGAGTCTAAAGACAGAACAGGTTAAAAGCAGCAAATATGAACCCAAGCTCCCCTTGAGCAGTCTGGCAGCTTAAGGAGTTTCTCTTGTGAGAAGCTTCCTCCTCTCCAAGCAAAGAGCTGGAAAGAAAATCCCACAGGCAGCACTTCTTGGGCTGCCTCTCATTTAGGAAACAACCACGGGTCCAGGTGACACTCAAGGCAATGAACCATCACTCCTCACCCTCCTGTGACAAAACTACCTTATCCATCAAACACAAACCCCTTCAAGCGAAGCAGAGCAGCCGTGGCAGGCGGCTGCAAACTCATCATGCTCTTGAATGCCACCAAGGGGCAGCTCGTGCCTCTCATCTCTGCCCTGAGCATGGAGCTGTTCTGACAGGCAGCGCTCAACGCCAAGGCAACAAACTTTTTCCACACTCAGACAACCATTTGTGGGCATTTACCTCTGCACAGCTCTTTGAAAAGCTCACCCTGAGTTTGCCCTGCCCCACTCCCGGGGTTCAGCCTGGTTAGAGAAATAATCTCAGAGCACCTCATTTCACATGGGAGTTTCCTCATAACCCAACACCCATCACGCTCCAAGGAGGCTGCAGAGACATCAGTGCCCACAGCTGTAGACAGGATGAGCCCAACGCAGAACACAAGCTGCTTGTCTTCCTGCCAAACCCAGGCAAGCCACAATGCTCTCAGTGCCACTTTTCAGCTGAGCCCTTCAGCAACTGGGTGTCTTCACCCCCACTCTCATCCTGGGACTGCAAGGCTGGCACATCTTCCACTGGAAGAGGACATCCCTGTCCTCCCTGCCCACATGCTCTCACGTGGGCTACCCAAAGCAGCACCACAGCCCTTCCTCTCAGACTTACCCCCTCTTGGCTATCCACACCTCCTTCCTGCCCAAAGTCACCCCTCACTGTTGCCTCACAACCTCCTTATCCACAAACAGAATCTTTCATGTTTAAGGCAGGCTGTGATTCAGGCAGGCAGTAGAAATGTGTTTGTAATTTAATTTAGCCTCCTCCACGTCCCACCACCAGAGGCTGGTGCCAGCTGCTGCCTTCCAGTGCAGCCATGGCTGGATTTACACTGCCAGGTTAATCCAGACTGATGCACCCACAACCCCAGCCAGCAAAGCAGCTTCTCTGCTTCAAATCTGGGGTTGAAACCAAGTCTTTGGCAATCTTTCTCACCCCAGCTCAAGGCACTTCAGGCTTTACTCCTCTCCAGGCTCCTTCACTGCTTTTCTCCCTGTCAAAACACCCATATCATGGTGGTACAAGGCTCCATGTCCCTGCCTGCTGCAGTCAATAAACTTGCTCTAACTTGAGAAAAAAAAAAAGGCAACAAGAAATAGGCATTGTGGGCCAACACACAGAAAAACATGAGCCACAAACCTCCCAAGTACCCTCTGTTTTGAGCTCACTTGAGCTCTTGCCCTGGCTTACAGAAAGGAGAGCCTGGCACCCAGTCTCTCTGGCTTTTGCCCATCACCATCCTCAGGGTTTGGGGAGCACATAATAACTGTATAAACAGCCAACAAGGATAAAAAAAGAGCATCCCTGAGGCACAGCTCCCCACGGGGCTGCCAGAGCTCTGGAGGAGCCACTAAGATGTGTCATCTGCGGGGTGACAAATTACCGGGGAAGGCAAGAGGGTGAGTCATCCTCTTTGACTGACCCCTGTGTCAGCTGTCAGAGCGGGAAGGCTGTTCCCGAGCTACTCAGAAATGGATAACGAGCCATGTGGGGCTCTCAGGAACCAGCCGGGGGCCAAGCTCAGTGCAGGGCAATGCCCTCATAGGCACAGTCTGAGAGAGAGGGGGGAGGCACCGAGCACAGCAGGGGGGAGAAAAACACCGAGGAGTAAAAATAAATAAAACCCCGAAAATATTCTTTTTTCTTTCTTTCTTTTTTCCTGTCAGCGCAGCTGAGTCAGGTAAGGTTTAGAATCTCCCTGTCTCTGTGCTAAGCCACCTGCAGTGGGGTTGGTTTTGGGGTGGGAAGGAGCCTGTGTGAGAAGGGGCACAGGGAGCACAGGTAGAGCCCTCAAATGCTGCTGTGGAGGTAATGGAGACCTCGCTGTGCCAGGGGCTGACAGAGGACCAAGGGGAATTTGCTGTGTGTGATGAAGACTTCACACCAGACTCGCTCACCTGGGGGGAGAGATGGGGCTCTGCCAAGTGGCAGGCAGCAGGTTTCGGAGTGTGGACCCTCAGCATCAGCACGGGGGCTGAGCCAGCAGCCTGCATGGACAGGCTCCTGCAGATGGAAACACAATTCCTTCCCTCCTCTGCCAGCTTGAAATGAATAGCAAGCAGCTGTCACCCTGTGTAATCCCTCCTCCCAGCCCCTTCCCTATCCCAAACCCTTCCTCAGCCCAGCAGCCATTTTCTGAGGAGCCATGGAAACTGTCCATCTCTGCCTGTGCCTGCAGCTGTCCCACCCCTTTCCTGTGCCCCCATCCCCACATTTGGCAGACCTGGGCACTCACCAGGTGATCCTTCAGTCCTGCAAAGGGAAACCTGTGCCTCCCCTGTAGTCCACAGCCCGCACACAGCTCCCTGCCCGTGTGCCAGGGAGTGCCTGTCACACCTGCTCTTGGGGCAAGGGGTGAATTCGTAGCCAAAACCAACCCCCTTCTAGGCTTTCCTGGTGATTTCCCAACGGCAAGGTTGAGCATAAACCCTCCCCTACTGGCAACCTCCAACTTCTCATTAAAGGGAACACATTGCTCCTTCCTGTGGGTACTGATCTGAGCCTTCCTGGTATTTATTAACAGAGGTTTCACCAGAAACTTTGGCCTCACTGAAGAAGTGAGGGCTGGAAATCGAGGGAGGTTTGTGCTGTCAGTGCTGTCCTTCCCAGCAGCGTTGTACCTGGGTGGCCTGTGGGCACATCCAAACGAGGGGGTGCAGGGGTCCTGGGAGGTGCAGGACAGCCCTTTGGTGCTGCAGCACAGAGAGAAACCACAACTAGAAGTTTGTGCCAGGCATGATGTGCTTTGAGAAGCTGCAGTGCTGCAGGAGCAGGCAGGTGAATCCCCTTCTCATGGAGTCGGCACAGGACAATCTTCATGCTCTGGAAGAAGCACAGCATGGAGTGGAGGAGTAAAAAGGCTCCACAAGCCTTGGCTAATGCTCCTGCTTGATCCAGTCCTCTTGCAGACCTGCGTGGGATCCTGAGCTGCCTTTTCCAGACTGCCAGCTCTTCTGGATGTGATAAATTGGCTTCGAGAGGCTCGATTTCAGCAGCAGGAGCAGCCAATCTTGTGCCCGTTGGGAACTGGTTCTGTGGCCTCCTTCCCACTGCCTTCCTCACACCCAGCACAGATCCTGCCAGGGCCACTCTGGCTGTCAGTGTGTGAATGATGACGTGGGGATGAGTGAGGGATCCAAACGTGAGAATGTCAAAATCTTTTATTTACAACAGTCTCCAAAAATCAAGGAACACTGAAAATAGTGAGGGTAGGAGATGACTTACAAAAGGAACACGCGTACATCAGGAATTGTGCTACATCACTCTGAGGACTGACACTCTAAGGTCTGCACACAACGTGGTGAAACGGCAGTGCCCTCCCTCCCTCTGTCCTTGGGGTGCTCACACCTCTTCTCCCCTTGGATTTTGGACCGTCCTCACTCCCATTTGTTCTGCTGGTCCCTGCAAACCTTTCTGCTCATCCTCTTGTTGCTCTGGTCCTGGCCATTGCCCCCCTCCTTCCCTCCCCTGCCCAGAGGAGGAGTGGAGAGGAGAAAGCCAAACAACTCTGTCCTCAGGATGGAGACAGGCCTTGAAAGCCTGTTAGCTCTGGGACCCTGGGTGCTAAGCCAGGGCAGAGCAGTTAGCAGAGGCCTTTGAAAAATCTGTGAACTATGGCCTGTGTGCTATCTGGGGTGAGCAGTGATTTCAGAAGAAGTAGCCAAGAGACTGTGAATTTGTCCTCCCTGGCTGCAAATCAATCTGCACAGCTTCCTCAGTGGACAGTGTGGGAGGATTTATATGTGTCATGGGGTTAAATAAAAAGCCTTTTGTGACCTTGCAGGAGGGCAGGCTGCTCTGGTATGAAAATTCAGTGCAGGACAAGCTAAAAGAATTAGACACTGTGACATAAAGCAACATCCCAGTTTGCTCCAGCAGAGACAAAGCCAGGGTCTCTGGAGAACCATTGCATCCAGACTACTGTGTTAGTGGTCCCAGTAGCTCTCTAAACATGCCACGTGTCCTTCTCCTTCGTGATATTTCTCAGGCTGCCTTTGCTCTGACATAGTTTCAGATCCAGCAGGGATTGAGAAACACAGCCCAGCTCAGCCACTGATCCCTTTCAGAACCTGCAGCCTTGGCAGTTGCTGAGTTCAGTGGCCAAACCCGATGGCCCAGTTGCCCAAACCCTCAAGAGGCACCACAACATAAAGAAACAAACAGAGTGAGGAGTCCTGGGTCTGTTCCTTCCTCTGACACTGATCTTTGCACATCACAGCAACTCTGTTCCACCTTGCTCCAAAGCTGATGTGGACGTGGCTGTTGAGAGCAGGGACTCTCTCCCCGAGTGTCCACAGCCACAGGGAGCCCTGAACTCACTCATCAGCTCCACTGAAGATAAAGAGCAGCCACACCAGCTCTGTGCATGGCTCACAGAGCTTCAGCACTGGGGAGCAGTGCTCTTCTGCCACTGGCCTGGGCTGGCAGGGAGAGAACTCCTGGGCAGGACAGGACCTGCTCTGTTCTGCAGGAGACTGCACTGACCCCCCTCCTGAAACATTAACTTTTCACAACTTAACCCTCAAAACACGATTTACTAGAAATAAAAGAGTGGGCAGTTTCCCTGCACATTCCCCTGCCATGTGCTCTAACTGAGAACTCATGTATGGTTCCTTTTAATTGCAGCAAGATTGTTTTGAAATGGAAAATCAGAGCATTCTCTTCCAAGTAGGGCTGGTCTGATGTGTTCTACTGTTTAAAAACATCAAAACTGACAGGTTTGTGTGAAGCAGTTTAACTCCCTGGCTTCCTCTGTCTGAGGAATTTTCCCTGAGACTTCTCCATCCACTTTCAGTCCAGACTCTGTGAGCACCTTAGGCATGAGCTGCTACCACGGAGAAGACTGAACCTTTCTCAGCAAGACAAGGGGGCCCAAGAGATGGTCTGGGAAACAGAGGAGTCATCAGAGGAAGAAGATAGGTAGAAATGTGGGAGGAATCGATTTAGGCTGAGCATCTGCTCCTGGAACAGTACCAGACAGGTGAGGCCTTGTTTTTTATTGCTACAAGCATCTGCCTCAGAGCACCAATTCCCAGCAGGGCTGTCAGTCCCACCTCCACATTTGCTCAGATAAAGCCATCCCTTTTCTTACCTCTATAATTTTATGGATATTTTGTAATCACAGGGAGGACACTGCCTACGTGGAAATGGATGTATACATCTGCTCCTGATTTATCGTCTCCACAGATGCTTGGGAAGATCTGGATGTTGTAAGTGTTTTGGGGGAGCCTCTTTCACTCCACTGCACGTGGAGAAAGCACCAGCCACCCTGACCACAGAGGTGTGCAGAGGGAAGTGGTGATGGGGCAAATGACTAGTTAGATCTTAAGACAAGTGTCATGACTGTGTTTAGTCACTACCAAGATCCAATGAGTCCTTGCAGCAAAAAACATCACCTCAGATCACCTCCTGACTTTTCTGCCATCCTGCTACAACCTGGTGTAAGCTCCTCTTCCTCTCCTTGCCTCAGTTTCCTTGCTGGAGGGGCACAACCTCCTCAATATGCCTTTGTGAATCATCTGCTGCAGCTCTGCACTTATCTTGGTGTCTCCTGCTCCTTTCTGAGTAATTCCAGCCATTGCTTTCCCAGTACCACCTTGAACAATCAAGGGCAAGGTGAAGCCCTTCTGCACGGAGGGAGCTGGGCTGGCCAGAGAGGAGGAGGGAAAATGAGAGCTTGTCCTTTTCCCTGCCTGCTCCAGAAAACAGGATGGATCCTGTCATGTGCCAAGAACTCTGTTATTTTCGTCTGCAGATCAGACACTGCCAGATCAGACCCAGGAGACATAAAAGGTTTCCCACTACTTTGAAATTAATCTTTGCCTTCCAAGAGTGGCTGAATGAATGTTCCCAGCATGGTGTGTCCAGAGTCCTGCTGGAGGTGGGGGGCTTATGTAGCCTCTTTATAGTGAGCATAAATGTAGGACACCAGGGGCTGAAATGAGCTTTCAACTTTGCAGGATTCAAAGCACATCTATGCCTTGTCCTAAAGGCCTTTCAAGTTTCTTCGTGGTCACAGAAGGAGGAACTTCCTCTAAGGGTGCCCTCAGCACCTTATTCTCTTCTCTGGTGACCTGGAAATATCCAGCAGCTTTAATCACCCCAAGGAGGTTGAAGTCTTTACCAAGTTCAGGTCAGGCCACCAGCCAGAGCATCCTTGGCAGCAGCAGCAGGGATACCTTGCTCTCCCCTGCAGCACCTGCACAGCCACACGTGTCCCAGGGGGCTGTGTATCATCAGCACCCTGCCCTCTCTGCTCACTGCCACTTAGGAGTGCTCAGGGCACCACCAGGAGTTAAACCTGGAGCCCAGACGTAGGGAAAAGCGTGGCTTACAGGTCAAGGATTGGGCTGGACTGTGCACAGCAGCCATCAGAGCAGCACAGCTTAAGGACAGTCAAAAATCCTTCCCAGAACCATTTATTCATGGGCACGGGGTTCATTATGCAGGAGCTGGTGCAGATCAGAGGTAGGTGCCAGGGAACATTTAACACTTTGCAGAAAGGGGTAACTCAGCTGCACCGTGGGATAGTGAGGAGAAACTCTCACCAACCTCACTGCCTGCAGCAGGATTGCTCTGGCAATCTCTGGCTTCCCTCTGGAATCAACAATAGATCTGTCCTGTCACTCCTCTCTCCAGCTGACACCTTGGGGAACCTACTTTAGAAACAAGCATTTGACCCAGTTGCCCAGAGGTGACATGATGTGAAGGTGTAAGATTAGCAGGGATCAGAGCAGGGATGCACTGAGCCAAGCAGAAGCAGCTGCTGGTCTCTCAAGCAGCACAGGCCCCAAAACTTGGCTGGAAATGGGGATGGGCTTCCTGGAATTTTCATCTTAAAAAGGGGGTTTGATCCAGACAGATAACACAAAGCCACCAGGGACATGGAATCTGCAAAGAAATGGAGCCAGGCTCCTTCCTGGCCACGTCCCTCTATTGGTATCCCTGTAGATAATGGTTAATGTATCTCCCTGTGGGCCTGACCCTTCCCTTCTGCCGAGGACCAGCTGTGCTGCATATCAATGCACACTTAGCTATTTCAATTTTTAAAATATGATAGAATCAGTGATGCTTAAAATGTACTTGTTAATGGCACCAGTTTGCGATTTCATTTTACTTTAATATAAACCATCTGCTCAGAGCAGGCGGCAGCTGCAGCTCCTCTGCCCTCGTGTCCCCACACAGGAGGGTGTCTCTGAGCTGCCACAGAGGATGCTGTGCATGGCACCAGGTATGGGCTCCACCTGGGTAACCCAGGGGTGCCCTGGTCCTCAGAGTAAGAGCTGACTGCTGTGACCAAAGGGCTCTGCAGGGACCGCAGGGCTGTTTCCTCTCCACCATGAAGGGCAGAGGCAGTGACTGGTGAGGTGACCAGGAGGGACTGGGCATTGATATTGCCTTGGCCTCACTACTGAGATGAGGGAGGGGAGGGCAGGCTGTTGCTGGCTGTTCACAGACCCAAGAGACTCCAGCAAAGGTGCTCTGTCCCCTCAGAAAGAAGGGGAAAGCCACGTGTCCCAACGCCCTCCCTGGATGATGAAAGGTGGTGCCACCCAGCACCTCTAGTTTGGATCCCACAATGACACCAATGAGAGCTCCTGTGCAGTGAGTTCACTGCTGGTCTGGCTTGAGTACAGGTAAAGGACCAGATAATGCTGTTCTCCAGGCCTTTCCAACAGCTCACTGCTGTTCTTGAAGGCTCAGGTAAAGAGGCACAGGCTTGGAGTGGGGGTAGGACATCACCTCAAGAGCCATCGTTGCAGTGCTGACCCTGGACAAGGGGAGGGAAGAGACAGAGGGAAGTGGTTTTTAAAGGATCAGATGGCCTTCCCAACTTCTCCCCTTTTAGCTTTGCGGTTCCAGAAAGCTCTGTTGGTTAAAAAAAAAAAAGGAAATTTAAAAGAACAAGATAAGAAAAAAAGAAAAGAAAAGCAGAAAGAAAACTGAGAGAAGGAGACCTCTTCCCCTCCTACTCACGGGCTGAGGTATTCCCTGGGCAGCCCTCACTGTCCGTCATCCATCCGTCACTACCCAAAATAAATACAAGTTTAGAGCAAAACTCATTAGAAAATAAAGTGCATCTGGAGTTGAAAAAACTTCTGGAAAAAAGGGGATTTTTTTCCTCTTTTGTTTTCTTTACAAAAAATATCCTTTAAAAAGAAAAGAAAAAAAGAAAGGGGAGAGCAAGAGGACAGAGCCCCCTGGCCTGGGTTCTACAGGGCTGTCCCATTGGGGAGGGGGATCTTAAACCCGCTCTTGAGCAGGGCGAGGCAGAGGCAGAGGCCCAGCAGGCCGGCCAGGAGCACCCCCAGCACGGCCTTGAGGCAGGAAGTCCTGCTGCGGGTGAAGGTGCCGGGGCCCATGATGCTGAGCAGGGCTGTGCTCACAGTCAGCGTGTACAGGATGGACACCCCCGTGTTGAGGGCCACGATCTTCCCGAACTTGGCGAAGGGGGCGATGATGCAGAAGAAGAGCGGGACGGTGGCGATGACGGTGGTGACGGCGCTGGACACGATGGCCACCCCCACGTGCCGCACGGCCTCCACGGTCCTCCACTGCCGGCACGCCCGCGGGTCCTGGGGGAGGGAGGGTGATGTGAGGGCACAGCAACGCGGGGCTGCACTCACGGTTTAGGCTTTGAATCACAGGATCAGCTAGGCTGGAAAAGACCTCTGAGGCCATCAAGTCCAACCTTTGACCCAACACTGCCTTGTCAACTTGACCACGGCACCAAGTGCCACATCCAGGCTCTGCTTACACGCCTCCAGGGATGGTGGCTCCACCACCTCCCTGGGCAGCCCATTCCAGTGTTGGATCACTCCCTCTGTAAAGAATTTCTTCTTAATGTCCAACCTAAACCTCCCCTGGCGCAGTTTAAGACCGAGCCCTCTTGTCCTACTGCTGCTTCCCTGGGAGAAGAGCCCGACCCCCGCCTGGCTCCCCTCTCCTGTCAGGGAGTTGTAGAGGTGGCTTAGCTCATGAAATCCCAGTCCACAACAAAGCGCAGCTTGGAGAGTTCATTCAGTCTCTGAGCCCACTGGACAAACAGCCACGGGGTTGTTTGTCAACAATCCAGCAAAGCCTGTTGGATTTTGTGCCTCCTTTGCACCACGTCAGGCTGACTGCTGGACCTGCACAACACACACGGGTGCAGCGTGCAGGCACGAGACCTGGCATCAGGGATCCCAAGCTTTTGTGTGGTCTCCATCTTCCCAAAGAGACAAAGTTGTTAAGGAGGCCATAAAAAAGCTGGAGGTCCAGCACAGCAAAGCAATTTGCAGAAGGAGTGTAGGGCTGTTCCAGCACAGACTATCTTCACTTGGACATGAAAAGGGGTTGCTTTGGGCACAGCTGTGGCCAGCAAGAAAGGGACCCTCAGCTGGGTTTACTGTACTCAGGCACACAATCTCACAGTCTGAGCAGTCGGCTGGACAAGCAGCAAACACTCCTGAGGTGCTGTGAGGGTGGTGGGACATGTCCCCCCTTGCCTGTCATGGGTCCTACATCCCAGGCAAGTGGCACAGAGGGCACGAGAGGAACCAAGGCAAGGCTCTAGGAAGAGCAGAACTCACCTCTGCCTGGTGCAGTGGCAGGTTCTCCCCTGCCAGCAGGTAGCCCTCCACCAAGTGCACACAGTAATCCACAGAGGAGCCAACGAGGATGGAGAGGGAAATGGCCTCCACAGCTCCCATTTCCCAGCCAGACCAGTACATGATGGTCACCACCAAGCAGACGACCCCTGTGTGAAGAAGGTGATGTCAGGCAAATGTCAAGGACTCCAGGACTGCTGGCCAGGCCCACTGATACCAGTCAATCCCCGGGGAGTTTGGGATTGTATCCCGCAGGTCTGCGTGCCGGCCAGAGTCCTGTACACACTCGCTCCTGCCACAGAGGAAAACACTTCCCTCACCCTCCCTTGCCACAGGGACCATTCCATAAGGCAATCAGACCTGCTGGGGCTAGTGGAGCACCCAGATAAATCAGACTGATGCCAGTCTAGACTAATTCTTGCTAAATGAATCCAAGCCCAGGCAGGCATGTGTGTGTGCACAGGCACTACAAGGAAGTGAGCCCCTTGTTTTGCTGGCTGGAGTTAACACACACTGTTACTTTTTTAAAGGCAAGAATGGTGTTTGTTTGTGAGTCATGTGTGGGAGAGTAAGTGGTTTCAAAATGATAGATTTGATTTTTAAACTGGGAAGTTTAGCAACACACTTAGACCACAATGTCGCCAAATCACCAGTCAGGGAGAGGGAACTATTTACAAATTTGCTTCAAATACTAACAAAACTGCTAAAATATTCAGCTTTTAACATCTCCCACTGCTTGGAAACAGCAGCCATGGTGCAGATTCTTGGGAAGTAATGCAATTGTTATTCAAAGCATGTGGGACTTAATCACATTATTATACATAACAGGCAGGGATGGCATTTGTGTAGCTAAAACCCTTATTTAAACAAATAGAAGGGATTGTGTAGATAAAACACACTGGGAATTAGGCACACAAATCTACTTTCCCAATGAGGTTCCTGTGCATTTGTTGAGAGTTTCTTCTGTTCACTTAGCAAGTCCATTCTCCAGGACTGACTCCTGGAAAGCCAGAAGGGTTTACACAGCGTAAGAGCAATTCAGTTCAAATCACCCGAGACTCAGCAGTGCCACAACGCACCGAGTGCAGACCAAGTGAAAGCCTGGCACATTGGAATTGGCATTTTTACCTAAGATGCTGAGCAGCACTGGCAGCAGGAGGAGGATGTGTGTGGTGAACACGGCCACTGCAGCCACACAGATGACCAGAGAGAGGACAAGACCATACAGGGCACTCTGCACTCCTGGAAGAGAAGAGTCAGCTATTTGGATCCTGGAAGGTGACAGCTGCATGAGAAAGGCACCATGTCCCTGCTGGCAAGGGACTCACACTGGGGGAGATGGGAGGGGAGAGAATGAGAGTGGAAAGAAGGTTATCAGCTTCCTGGATCTCACATCAGCAGGACTGATTTTCCTGGGCTCTGACTAGGATTTTGACAGTACACATTGCTTGGGGCAGGAACAGGCTTTAGGATTTTGCACAGCAATGGCAAGAGACTGAAGATATAACCCAGGCCCACCAGATGGGACAGGGTGTGCTGTGAAGATGTATCAGAGAGCGGGTTCCCAGGGAGAGAAACATGGCAGTCACTTGCCTATAATCTCCATGAAAATCTGCTTCCAGTGCTCGCAGGTCTGGAAGCCGTGCCGGAGAGCAGAGCCCTCTGGGAAGAGCTGGAGTTGCTGCTGCAGGAATGTCTCCCACTTCAGGTAGTCAGCATAGGTCTGGAAGGATGACTTCCCCTTGTAAGTTGTCTGTAACAAGAAGAACTTGTTACTGGTGCCCTGCTCTTCTTGTGTGGCAAGGGGAGAGGCAGAACAAGCCAGCTGGAGTGGCAGCACCAGGCAGAACTGGCAGTGGCATCTGTGCAAATCTGCCACCAGCTTTTTGCCTGAGCCAATTGTGGCACAAGCAGCCACTTCTTACAACTTGTGAGTGCAGGTATCTGTCTGCAACAAGGCACAGACACTGATAAACTCTAAGTTATGGCTGCAAATGAAAGTGGCCAGTGCAGAAAGAGCAGAGCTAAACCCCCAGAAGTCACAAGAATAAACTGTCACCAGGATAGATGGCGATGCCATGTGCTCACCGATTCAAATGCCATGGAGATCCACTGCACCTTCCCATCCTTCACCCCCACTGCCCCATGAGAGAGCTGTCCAGGCAGCAGGTTTGGCTCTGGGATGTTCTTGCACTCAGGGTGCAACATCTGCAGAAAGGAGGAGATGCTGTAACCTGGAGAGAAAGAAAGAGCAAGGGATGGAGAGCAGCACAGGGAATGGAAGCACACTGGAGCAAGGGGATAAAAAAAAAACAAAACCAAAAACCACCAAACCAAAAACCACAACCAACTACCCAAAAAGAGAACCCCAAGAGGAAGTTGCAGGCCCCATTTGTCAGCTGCTGCTTCCCCTTGCCATTCTGGTTTGCCAAAGCCCTGGAGGTCTCAGCACCAGAGCCCTCAGCTACTGTATTTTGAAGGGACATTCCACGCCATCAGCACGGGACAGGACACTGCCACTGCTGTCTGTCCCCAGCTGTCAGGAAGCAGCACAAACAGCAAGTGCTGAGGGCTGTCTGCAGGGATTTTTTTCCAGGCATGAGATTGGCTTTTGGCCTGAAGCCAATATGCACTTTCTAGGCTCAGCTCCACAACCTGGTGACCTCTTTAAGCTGGGAAATCCGGGCACTGGTCAGGTATGCAAAGCCATAGACACAGTAACCTCACTGCAGTGAGATCAGGTGTGATTTGATGGTTACTCAGGAGCTGCTAAGAAGATATTTACTGATTCAAAAGATTAAAGTGTATCACGAGCAATACCCATGACTGGAAAGAACAGACGCAATTCTGTTCTTATCTGCCTGGATTAAATCCCAAAGAACACGCCTTTGTGGTGTCTTTGGTGTTAAAGAGGCCGTTTTTCTTTCTCATGTCCCAAAAAGCACAACCAAGGGCACGTTCTAGAAGGGCCAAGCTGCCTTGGGAAGAAAAGGAGGCAGCAAGCAGCAGCCACCCTGTGGTTTGCAGTTGAGGAGCCCAGCTCCAGCAAGCCCTGCTGCAGGCAGAGCTGCAGGCAGGAGTGAGTCCAACCTACCCGAGGGCAGGCACTGAGCCCCTCCAGGCTTCACCAGCTCCGCGTTGCCGGCGATGGCTTTGCAGAGGCGGCACAGGTTGCCAATCTCTTTGAAGAGGTCGAAGCTGTCATCGTAGATAACGCTGCCCTTTCACAAGGAGACACAACAACAGGAGCACCACACGTGAGGCACACACACAGCGACTGGCACGAGGAGGCAGAAGCCAAGTCCTCTCCTGGCTACACAGCCCAGGCCCGGCTTGTACGGACCACAGGAAACCCACCAGATAACCCCAGAGGAAGCTACGTGTCCTGCCCACCCCACAGAAGTCAGGCAGTACAACAGAAACACTGATAAATGAACAGCCACCCTGCCATGCCCGAAGCCATTAGGGTCTGCCTAAGCAGCAGCTCTGAATCCCTAGAAGTGCCCAGCACAAAACTCCAGCTTTCTGCCCACCCCACTGCCTACATTTCTCAATGCCCCTTCCAAAGGGAACAGGCAAAGGCTGATTCTGCACAATGCCCCCAAATCAGAGGGCAGGAAGGACAGCAGAAAGCTGAAGTGCATCAGCCAAGGGACCAGAGCTAAGCATAATTTTCCTGGGGAAAGGCTGTGAATGTGTCAGGGTATCAGATCTGGGAGATAAAGCTGTTCCAAGAAAAGTCACATTTAGTAACCGTTCTCTAGAGTAATTTATTTTTATTCTTTCACATTAGTATCTCATAGCAAGATAAACAATTATAGAAAAACACCAGTTCCCTCAGTCTTGAATTTGAGGTGAGATTTCATACTGAGCTCAAGATGGGTTTATTTCTAAAGTCCTCAGGAAAGCCAGATTTAGACTCAAAATTAGAAGGTTATATATTGCACTCAAAGAGATTTTCTGAAAAGTCTGAGGTGTTTTCAGTAAGGGCTTCTTGACCTCCATTATTTGTCAATTTGCTAGAGCAGAAGTGTACTTTTGGCTCATCACAGCGCTGCCAACTCTGCTCCTCCACCTGTCTGGATGGCTGGGCCACCTGCCTGGGCTGTGGGGATTAACTAGACCCCCCCCAGAGGGGCTGTCCCACACCCCGGGCTGTGTGTACCATGTCTCCGATGACGTGGTTGTCCGGGCGCCTGGTGCGGTTGACGCCCCTGATCCCGAACACCACGAACACCATGGCTCCCGTGTCCACCAGTGGCCGCACCGCCGGCTTCCCACAGCCCGTGTTCATGCACGGGTTAAACCCAGACGTGGCCGACGGCTTCGCCCTGGGAGCTGCTGCCAAACACAAGGAAAGGTTGGTTACATTAGATGGCTGAAGAGCTCTGACTCCCTGGATCTGACAGCCAGGAGGGCATCATCAGCTCACCTTTCTCACTGGGAACATACAGGATGCCTTTGGTGGGTCCATCCGGGCTCGAGCTGAGCAGGCAGCCCGGGGGTGCCACACACACTCGGCCGTGGTAGGGGGGCTTGTGCGACTGGGCAAAATACAGCTTCCTGTGCAGCAAAGAGAGTTTGTTAAGGGGGACCAGAGGTAGTGAGGATGATTTGCCAAAGCATTACGAGAAACAAGCATTCTCGGGGCAGAAGGAAAGGGAAAGGTGAGCATCTGCAGGCCTGGATCCCTAGCCATTGCATATTCTGTGCTGCCTATGCAGCCCAAGAGTTCAGGTGGGTAAGGACAAGAACAAGATCAGCAATGTCTTTTTGCCACCCAACGAAATCCCCAGTCACAGCCCTGCCCCTGTGAGGCCTTTGGCACGTTGGTGATGCTATGGGCCTGCAGAATGCCCAGAGATGGGCACATGTGCAGCAAAGCAAGTTCCGGGGTCACGGATGTCACCAACTGAGGGCAGGACTGGCACTGGCCATTAGGATCAGCCTCTCAGCTGTGCTGTCTCTGCTGCCTGGCCAGGAGGGGGGTTGGAAGCTTACCGTGTTCGCTGCTGCTCCTTGGAGGCCACGTAGAAGCTGAAGTCGAACTTCCAGCCCCTCTTGGTGTCACAGGACAAGGTGGTCATCATCCACTTCCTGGGGCTCGTCTGCTTAAGCAGCCCTACTGTGGACACACAAGCTGTCAGCTTCCTGGTGAAGTTACCGAAAGGCACTCTATACACCTAAGCAATGGATTAATGAAAACAGACACTTAACTCCACAGGGTTGCAGCCTGTTGCACATTAGCATCACACACTCCCCTCCTCCCTGAGCACTGGCACAGCCACACAAATGAGCACTGCAGGCACGACCCCAGCCACCCCCCAGCCCTCCCCTTCCCAGGCTTGGCCAGCGTGTGATGGGGCCCCTCAGCACCCCAAATCCCAGTGGTCTGGGCTGAATGGTGGCTGACATCTGCTCAGTGACACCCACACTTCTGCTTCCACTGCTGACAGTCACATCACAACAGCGACAGGGGAGTATTGTGGCACTACAAGGCATAATCTTTAACAATGCCAGGCACAAGGCCTTCCTTTCTAACTACCTTACTACCAGTGTCACCCAGAGCTACCTAGGACCCCCATGGAGAGACAGGAGGAGGCTCTTGTGCTCACCTGCTGAGTGCTGCACTCTTGGTAGAGGGGTCCAACATCCTGGACTGACTCACCTGGAATGAAGGCACCTCCCCGTCTCCTGGTGACACCGTCTGCCAGGGCGCAGGGACACTGGCATTGAGGGAGAATCTGTAGATGGCTGGTCTTCCCTTGCTCCTGGACTTGGAGATGTACACAGTCCCCTGGAGATCTGAAGAAAACAGAGGGCATGAGGGCTGGTGGTACTTCTCAATCAGCAAATCCTACAGACGTGGACAGGGCACAGGAGGGTTCTTCTGGTCTGCTCTCTCCTCTGGGACAGCAGGCACAGCCTCTGCCTTCTGGCAGCACAGCACACCTTTCCAAGGCTGTCACAAATATATCCTGAGCTGCAGTAATTTCTGATGGTTTATTGATTCATGTCATCTCGGGACCTGGCCCAATAACTCTTTCATCCTCAAAATCCCTGCAAAACAGGCTGAATTTACTCTCCTTGCAACCTGCCAACAAGATTGTGACACAGGCCCAGGATGCAAAAGCTTGGAGTTCCCATCCCTGTACTCAGATCAGAGGGGTCTGTCACTAGACTGTACTGCCACCTGGATTACAGGACCCTGTCCTGGAGAGCAGGAGGCATTGAGGGGAAGTGGGATTGTAAAGACACCCTTTATATCCAGCACTAGGGCTCAGTGGGGCAGGCTCTGAGGAGAATTATTTCCCATCAGCTATTCAGGGAGCATATGGTTTAGTTTCTACCCAAGTGGATCCTTGGCCCTGGCCCCAAAGTTGTCAGTCATCATGCCCCACTCACCTTGCTGCCCTGTATCACTTATGCTGCCTTTGCTTCCCCAGGGTGACCCTGAGCCCCTCTTCTTTTTTTCCAAGGAGGTTCGGATGTTGTTCTGCAAACTGTGGGGCTTTTCCTGAAACAAACCTGTCCCACAAGGTTAGTCAGGGAGGAAAAAGTGAAGGGCACAAGAGACCTACCAGCCCTGTGCACACCACAGACACTGCTGCTCAACTCCAGACCCTGAGAAGGCAACACAGAGCCCCAGCTGGGCACTGACACGAGAGCAGTACTTATGAATAAAAGTAGTCAGTTTTCGTGGACTATGAGGGAATTGCTCCAGCAGAAACACTCAGACAGTTCCTGGCTAAAGCAGGAAATACTATTCAAAATATTCCACTCGTACAGGTAACTCAGCCATCCCACTCTCCCACTCCCAAGGTGTGCCTCCCTTCAGCAGGGTCCATCCTCTGTCCAGTGAGATATCTGAACACTGTAGGCCTCTGCCTCAGCTCCACCAGCCCAGGGTGTAGGCTGGGCTGCACCCACCATGGTCTGGGGACCAGCACTCTCACCTGAGCAGGTAATGCAGGAGATGCCTTCAGCACTCAGGTTGTATTTCAGGTCCAGCAGCACCTGGATGTTGGTGTCAGGCCGGAACAAGACTGGAGCACGGCTGGCAGGATGGAGGCGGCTGGCAAAGAATATGGACAGGAGCAAAACAAGGAGGAAGAGCCCTGCAAGGAGAAGCCCAGGTGAGTGTGTGGGACCCTACATGTACCTTGCACTTGAGACATACTCAGAAAGAAGGCATGTGGTAGAAAGACAGTGTTTTCAGCTGGGAAAAGAACAACCTTTAAAGCACACTGGCAGCTGGGCTTTCTTGTGATGAGCCCCATGCCTGGAAAACCCCATCAGGGCTTGACATTTTAGATCTGAGTGAAAGGAAAGGGATGGAAAAGTTCCTAACGCAGTTCCCTTAGGGACTGACTGTTCTGGGAACACTCTTCCACTGTGATAGAAGCCATTTACCATGTCCCTTTTCCCATCTCTTGTCACTAATAATCAAGGCTTGGGGACTGACTGAGGTGCAGTCAAACCCTCTAAAATCCATGCAGATGGAACACCACCCCTCCTTCCTTACCCACAATCACCCATCTGCTCTTCACTGCAGACCACAGCACCCAGTGTTCCAGCAGCTCCTGCAGGCGGGTTATCAACTGGCCCCGGTTGCTCTTCTCTGCAGGGAGCTGCAGGTTTTCTGGCATCACGGACACCAAGGGGACATCCCCCATTTCCAGCGAGACTACAAGAGAAATCAAAGGCAGTCTCAGTGTCATGAGTGTCTCAGAGCTCTCTGCTCTCCTTTAGCAAATCTTCTGCAAGATTTAGCTGTACAACTCAAGCTAAAGATGGAGTAAGACCCAGGCAGAGGCAGTGATTTCCAGGATGTCACAGGAAGCTTCTTTGTCAAGTCACTGCCATGCGACAGCTACAATTTGAAACCACAGCTCAGTCCAAATGTATGCTTCAGGCTGTTCCTCCTCTGCCAGATCCCACAAACATTGTCCATAAGGTCACAGGGACACTGCATGCTGCTTGGGCCAAACAGAATTTGTCCCTGTCCCACTAAATATGTCTTACTGCTAATTACACACAGCTGACCTCTTTCTGACTGCAGCCTGGCTCCTCTCTGATCTCTTCTCTCCAGCTCAGGGATGCCAAGGGAACTGCCCTGTTCTCTACATGTGAGAAGTTGGCACTGGCTGTGGTGGGACCAAGCCTGGCACGCTGTACAGCTGCCCCACAAACCACATTTGGGCACTGACTGGAACAAGCTGCTTTGCTTCTTCATGAATTACCTGATGCCCAGGGGCCCTGGAGGAGAGGATACTGCTGGGAGGGATTATTTCCATGAATCACCAGTGCATGTGGCTCTGGCATACTGAGGAGAGCTCTTGCAGCACAGAGCCAGAGCTTCTCTGCCTGCCTGTCACAGGCAGCTCAGAGCCCCCTCTGCAGCCAGGGATCTGCAGGTGCTGTGGCATTGATCCATTTGCCTCCAGCTCCAGTTTGCTCCCAAGCCTGAAAGTCACTCACTGCCCAGACCATTGCCATTGGGGGTTTTAAAAGGAAGAGTTTCCAGCAAGTTTTAAAAGCCAAATACAAGAAAGCTTGACCCTGTAAGCACCTTTATCTTCGGATCAGGGCTAGAAGGATTATCTCCTGCCAACAACAGATAGGGAATTTCTGGGCTTTTTTCCTAGATTGTTTATGTGGTCTCAGGCAAGTCATTGCCCTTTTTGTGCCGTGACAGAGGAGCTGCTCTGGAGAGGTGATGCCAGAGAACAACCAAGTGTTCTCTCTCCTGCTTCCCAAATGCAGTGCTCTGAATGGCAGGGAAGAGAGGAAAACTCTGCTCAAAGGTGAGCTGTCCTGGTGCTATGGATGAGGTGCTATGGCTTCATCCATGTCACAATCAGAGCTCCCAGGAAGCAGATCACATTGGACCCAAGAGAATTAGCAAAGTAGTTAGAAAGCATGCATTGACACCCTCTGAAGATCTCAGAGCAACTGTATTACTGTGAGTTCTGACTCCCACAACCCCCTGTGCCAGCACCATCTCCAACTCACAATTAGGAGAACTGAGGCAAGGATCAGGGACAGGGAGAACAGGATGAACAGGGCAGTGTGGTCCCCTTGAAGGCAACACACCACAGACACATACCAGGCTCCTCCTCCACGCTGAGCAGTGGGATGTCATCATCAAGGTAGGGAAGGGTCTCTCTGCCTGCCCTGGAGGTGGCCTCTGGGGCAATGAAGAGATCTTCAGCCAGGTGCAAGGCTCTCTTTTTGGTGCACTTCTGACTACAGCTGGATTGGAGCAGGAAAGGAGACAGAGGCAAGAGTTTTAAGGCACATACCCTGCAAAGAGTTCCCAGTGGGCTCCTTCAGTGACAAGGAGAGCAGCAACAGCCTGCTCTAATTACTTGGAAAGACAACAGGCACTGCCACGAGCAATTTCCATTGCTAAGTGCTGAGAGGTCAGGGCTGGGCTGGATGCACAGAGCAGGGCTGAGCTGTGGCCACTGGGTGCTGAGTGACAGCAGTTTCAGGAGTTCATCTCCCTGCTAATGAATTAAATCAGGCCAGGTCATCTGCAGGGCTAAAGAGCAGGGGAGGGGGAAATGTGCTGGCTTCAAACACAAATCTGCATGTCCTGCTTGTGCTCACAGGCAGGAGCAGTGGTGATCTGTCTGCCTTGCAGGGCCTGTGTCTCCACAGCTTGGAGGTTTAGCTGTGCATTAAGTGCTCTGAGGACACAAATGGCTCCAAAACCCCATGGGATTCAACCCAGAGGATTGACTGGCATTGCAGAGTCTGGATCTTGGGAGGCACCTATGCACATGCCAGGGGAGATTAGTGAGACCCAGGCTATGAGACTGGGACCTAACCCTTCCATTTTGCTCCAATCTGGAATGGCAGAATTTAAATTTCCCTTCTGATAGAGGGAAAGCCAAGCTGCCTGAGGGGACTGAAGATAACTGAGATGATAGGGCAGGAATTTGCACACTGCCTTGAGTTCCACAGGCTGCAGGGCTCACCTGGTTTGGCAGGAGCTCTCTAGTGGGGACACATAAAGGGTCCATATTCCAAGAGCAGCTGGCATGGTGAAGAGCACAGCTACCCAGCAGCAGGAAACAATCAGTGACATGAAGAGCCCGAAGTCATGCACAGCTGGGATCTACAGGAAGAGAGAGAACATGGAGTTGGGATCAACTGGGGCAGGAGAGCTGGAAAGACAGCAGGCAAGAAACAGATGTCTGAAGGAACCTGAGAGCAGCACACACTGATCTCAGCCATGGTCGTCAGCAAATCTGGTCAGTAAAGCACTGAATCAGAGCCTGAAAACCATTGGATCCTGTTTGGCCAGTGGCACAGGAAATATTGTCTTGAATGCTGATACAGGGAGAGTGTCCAGTGCCTTACAGCAGGTAGGGGACAGCCCTGCAGGGTAAGCAGGTCGGGCATCCCCCTGTGCTGGAGGAGAGGGCAGATGGTGCTGGCAGGTCCCCGCTCTTTTAGGCCCTCTGGCAGAAATGGAAAACCCCAAATCCCACGGGTGCAGGGTACCTGAGAGAAGATGTTGGCAGCATATGCTGCAGCCGTGGTTAGGGAGGTGAAGAAGGTGGCCTTCCCTGCTGTCTGGATGGTGTGGATCATGCGCAGCCGCAGGTCCTTGAGGTGGGTGGCTTGGCGGTAGGTGTTGATGAAAACAAAGACATCGTCCACCCCTGGAAAAACAGGGCAGAGCTGCTGATACTTCGCTCACACAATGGTGACACAAGCTAAACATCTAATTTCCCCCTCGACATTTGACCTGCAAATATTACACTTGGAGGTAATGGAGGGAAAGGGCCTGGAAGTTCAATCTGCGTTTGCCACCATCACCTTCCTCCCCCCTGCAGGCAGGAGCTGGGGCAAGGCAGCACAGGGAGGCTTTGAGAAAGGACGTGCTTACCAATCCCCACAATGACAAAGGCAGCCACACCATTGAGTATACCCAGGTACTGGATCCCAAATACGACGTGGTACAGGAACAGAGCCACCAGGCAGCTCAGCCCAATGCTGGCAATGCCAAAGAATGACAGGAACACTACAGCAGAAAAGAAACATGGAAAAAATAGTATCTCTGGCCACCCCCAGGAGAACAGACACCCCCCACCTGTCCTGTTGGAATACCCCCATGAAAGTGTTGGTGAGAGAGAAGAGCTCAGGGCTGCAAGAGTACTGCTTGCAGACTCCTTCCCGTCAGGCCCATCCATAAAATGATATCAGATTTACACCAGTGTTAGCAAGATGAGAATTTGCATCTTATTCCTGATTTCCTGGGAGCCTTCCCCTCACCCTGCCCACGTATCTCTGGAGAGTAAGACTTTTTTCCCCTCTTGCACACTGCTGTGCCACACAGCCAGGCTGGTGCCAGGGCATCAGAGCCTCTCCCGGGGCTCAGGCAGGGGGAATCACAACACATTTGGATTTGTGTGAGAGCAGGGCAGCTGTGACCACAGCCTACCTGAGCAGGAGGTGAGGATGTAGACCAAGACAGCTATGCAGCTACTGCTGATGAAGGCCAGCAACATGTCGTTGTTGAAAGTCCTCCTCACCTCATAGTCAAACAAATCCGTCCCCCCGTACAGCACCTGGACTTTGCTAGGGTGGGAAGACAGGAAAGAAGAGGAATAGGCAGAGCTGAGTGCAAAAGGAGCAGAGCCAGGTGATTTAAAGCACAGTGTCTCCTCCAGAGCCAAAGGAGGTCACTGCTCTAATAACCTGGCAGTTCTCTGAGGAAACTGCTCTGAGTGGTGAGATCAGGTTGAATGAGGTTGCTGCTGGAGGTGAAGTTCACACAAGAAGGGAGAAAAATAAAGAGCAGGTCTAATATTTTAAAAATTCCTCCAGTGCATGGTGGGTCTTTGGCAATAATAGACAGCTCCTAAAGCCTCCGAAGCCAATTCCATCTGGAATCCTAATCATTGCTTATTATATTAGCACAGCGGATGCAGGCAGAGTGAGAGCTTATCAGAAACCATATGATTTACCAGCTTCTGCCTCTGGAAGTGGGCTCTGAGCAGAAGTAATCTGAGATAATTTAGCCAGGAGTACAATAATGCTGCACCATAGGAGACTATCAGGGGTCTGAGCCTCAGATCCGAGCCTTGGCCCCAATTCCCTTTCGGGTTCTCATAACCACAACCTGCTCTGCCAACCCATATCTGAGTGCTCTGTGGCTGCCTGTTCTCAGGGCTGACAGGGGCTGCCTGCATTCCAAACTGCTTTTGAGGATCAGCATCCCTTTGTTCTGGGAGCTACTGAGACTCAGAGCAGTAGAGCTGGAGCCTTAGAAGGTACAAACACTGGGATTCACTGCCTTCCCTCAGCTGTCTGGGTACTGAGATGCTCTTGTAGCTCTGTTTTACCATCTCTCTCTCACAGGCATTGAGTAAAGCTCTATTCAACAAAGTCATACAGACCTGGTGGTGGAAAAAGTCTGCATTTCCTGAAACTTATCCTGCCCTGAAACTCCCCTCCCTATCCCTCTGCACAAAAAGCAAAAGCAGAATTGGATCTGCAGGTTGATGACCTGCATGAAGACTGTTTCACCTCCTGCATCAGAACAGCTGGGGACAAATTCAGAGCAGGAAGGCAGCTCTGTTTGAGCCAGTGGAACTGGATTTGTGAGATGGAGGCAAAGAGGTCCAATGCCAGACAAGGGCTCAGTGGAAGAGCAGGCACTGAATTTAACCTTCAGTCCCTTTTCGTTGTCTCTACTGGTGTCTCTGGAATGTTGCTGCCTCGGAAGTGGCATCAAAGGGAAGCAGTGGGTTTCTGCCATATGCTCCCCACCCTCACAGCTCCATGCATGAACCCAGCTTCAAAGGAGATGCTTTTTTTTCTCTTCTGTAGCATTATGCCATGGCCACTGTCCAAGGCTGACCAGCAGTCTGAGCTGGCATGCCAAGCCTTCTGTGCCTGGTGCCTTCCCAGTTAGGCTGAACAGAACAGGACTGTCAGAGCGGAACAGGCACATCTGCCCTGTGTGAACCTTCAGGCAGAGCTTTTACACCCTCAGAGGCCTGTTCCACCCTCTGCCCTTCCCTGCTCCCAGCCAGGCACCTGCCCTGCCTGCACACACCCTCACCTCGTGGACTGCTTGGCCAGCATGGCCACGTAGGTGATGACGAAGTTCTGGAACTTGCGGCGCTGCTCCTCCCAGCGATCCTCCACCGAGTAGTAGTTGGGCAGGGGTGCCCCAAAGAGGATTTCGCTCCTCAGCAGGGAGCTCTTCATGTTCTCAGCAGACAAGCCCTCATCCACATACCAGTAGAACTCAGGGTGGGTCATGGCCAGCTCCAGGGACCCTGCGGGACAAGGCAGCACCACCTTTTTTAGGCCCTGATTGATTGTCTTAGCAAGGCATGGGATCTGGTCTGACAAAGGGAAACTGGGAGTGATCCTGTTCTTCAGCAGAGGGGTGCTGACTGCTGCTGCCTTGCAGAGAGCAAGGAGGGATGGGGGAAAGCTGGATTGCAAAGACTCACCTTCTACTTCTGCTTTGTGACTCTGCTGACGCTGCCTACACGCAGTTCCCCCATCAGGGACATCTTCCACCTGACTGACCTGGACCACAGCTCCCTCAGCCAGCAATGCACACAACATCCCCATCCTCACTCCCGCTGCTGGATGCTATTCCTTCCTGTACACTGGGACAATATTTGCTCCATCACACTGGGAAGCACAAGAACTAAACAATGTCCAGGGAAGAGGAGAAGTCCTGGCTCTGCTGTGACATGGTACCTCTGCCATCCCTCTGGTGTGAGGGATGTAGAGATGGAAGCATTCAGCCAGTTCTGAGTAAGAGGCACTGTCTGTCTACCCCCAAAATCCAGTTCCCTTGAGTTCATACCAGAGAGACCCAGAAACTATGCTCTCTCCTGTTTTGGTAACAGAAGTATTACTCACACTGGAGCAGATGGAGTTAATTCTTTCCCTGCTCCCTGTATGGCTCCTGGACAGCTCTCAGCTCAGCCTGGCTTGGGAGACAGATGGAGGTTTCATCCCACAGCCACATCACACCCACAGACTCCTCATGAGTCACCTCTTTTGCACCATCCAGAGCCTCTGCTCTGCTAGAGGTGCACAGTACAGGGTACAGAGCTGGGAGGAGGAGGCAGGGCCTTCCTCCTCCTCTCCTTATAGGAGACTTTCCAGCTGGTGACTCACAAGCTGCCTTTCAAGCTCCAGAGCAGCCCACAGACCTCTTTCATCTGCTCTGTGGCGCAGGGAGGCTCATCCCTATTGCCTGTCCAAGCCCTGACATTGCTCTAGTTACCCACAGTCATTCACAGGGGACAAGGGTCAGTAGAAGAGACCTGTACCATGCAGGACTGCCCCTCACTTGTCCCTCTTGCTCAGCTGGGGGGGCCTGTGTGACCAGTGATTGGAGCTGATGAAAGGGGCCCCAGTACAGAAAAGACAATTCCTCAAGGCACAGCCCAGCAGGCTCTTCCTCTCTGTACAAGGCAGTCTCGCCCCTCTCAGCTGCACACCAGAGACTGCCTGAACTTGAGGAGGTCCTTTCCTTGAACACACCAGCCCTCGCCCACGGCCCTCAGCTCACCTTGGATGTCAGCAAGGTCTTGTCCCATGCCATCATAGTAAATCTTCCCTCCTCTCTCAGTGGGAAAGAAGTAGGTCATGAGGGAGCTGGGAGGGGAGCAGTAGGAGTAGGAGCCCAGGGGCAGATCCTTCAGGACCTCATGGGGCTTCCAGCAGAACTCCCGGAAGCGAGGGTGGTCCATGATCTTGCGCTCGACCTCGTGGATGGTGACCAGGCGCTCGGTGGTGAAGATGTTGTTCTCCGAGTCCCCCCGCGCCAGGAAGATGAGCTCGATGCGCCAGTGGGCGTGAGTCTGCGTGTTGGCACTGATGTACGTGCTGGAGTAGTCCCAGCGTGGGGCTCCCCTCCCAACCCGGGACGTCCTGTTCCCTGGGCTCGGGGGGACACGGGGCTCGGGGGAGCTCGTCCTGCCCTCCGGGGGACTGCGCTTGACCCGCGCGCTGACCCCGAGGTGGGAGGCGTTGAGGTGAAGCTGCTGGAGCTGCTCGAAGATGAGTCTCTGCAGGGTCTCGGAGGTGAAGTCAGCCAGGTCCCGGCGGTTCCTCCCCCAGGACCCAAACTGGGATTTGAGGGCCAGGGCGAGAGCGTCGAAGCGCTGCGAGGACTCGTGGTTGCGGATCTCGAAGGCGTTGTAGGAGATGTCGATATCCAGGGCCGGGTAGTGCAGGAACATGACAACAGCCAGCACAGCAGGGATGGCACAGCCCAGGAAAAGGATGAAGCCAGCGCAGTACGGGTTGGTAAACACCCAGCCAACAATATTCCAGAAGCCAGACATGGGCAGGGTGACACGCAGGGGCCTGACCCTGCACGGGCTTTTCCCACACAACACAGCACCCTCTCGCCTCTTGCGGGAGCTGAAGGCCACCTCTTCATCCTCCTCCTCCAGCCAGGCATCCTGCAACAAGGGGTCATCCTCTGTGTCCATGTCCAGTGCCTGCACACAGGGGCAGAGGAAAGCAGTCAGCAAGGCCCAGCAGTGCTGTCCCAGGCACAGCCATGAACCCACAGCAGCTGCCCGAGGGTCCCAGCAGCAGAGCTGGGAGGGAGGCACATTCCAGCTCCCTCAGGAGCCAAGCATCCCTCCTTCCAAACCTCACGGATTAGCTACAGCTGCTGAAAAAGCAGCCTTGCCATGGGGTATCCCACACCCTGCTGGGCAGAGGAACCAGAGAGGCAGAAGTTCAAACAACAGCCCCAGAGCTCAGTGCTGAGGCAGTGGAGGGCTCTGCAGGGCTCTGCATGGCTCCAGGAGCACCAGGCACAGAGACTGCAGGGATTCACATTGTGCTGCTCAGACTGCAGCAGCAGGAACATTTAATTAGCTAACCTGGTTCTCACACCCAGGAATGGTTCATGCTATCCGATAAAAAATGCAAGGGAGTGTATCTTCCTCTCCTTAAAACAGACAATAGGTTTTCCCCAGCTATTTATAGCTGTATTCATCTTTCCCACAAGGTGTGCATGTGTGTGCACCCAGAGCCAGAAGCACGGGCACCCACATCTGCACACACACACACGTATGCACAGACTTGCAAATCCCAACCCCCCCCTGAACTCGCTGTGACCCTGCTCCAGTCCCTCAAGGGATATCCACCTCCAGGGTGGGAAGGGAAAGGGCTGAATACCCCTGCTTTTCCTTCCACCCACACGGGATATTATTCATGGAGTGTGTTTTCCCCCTTCCTGTGGAACAACCAGGAAGCAAGAGCAGTTACTGCTCTCATGGAATGCAGGAGGAAACTCTCCCTGCTCAGCCTACACTTGGGCAGGAAAGAAAGGGATAATCCCTGGGAGGTGCTCTCCTCTGCAGGGGTTTGCCAGCACACACAGGTTCCCAGACTTTCCCTGGGTGTCTCAGGGAAGCCTCCCAAGGCAGGGATCCGTGGGTGGTGGTCCCTGAGAGCAAAGCCCAGACTCTGTAAGTGTCCCTTCCTTTCCCAGCTCTGGGCAGCAAAGCCAGCAGTCCCCACTCACTGAATGAGTGAATGAACAGGTTCACTTTGTTACCTGATCCTGGGAGTTGAAAGCAATTTACACACAGGCCAGAAACAATTTACGAGCTTTGATCCTAACCAGTGTTTTTATTTTAACAGGCTTTATATCAGTAGGAAGATAAATTCCCTGCACCTCTTAACCTGGGAGCTGCATGAACTTGGACCGAGAGGAAAAGCAATGGGGCAGAAATGCCCCCTGGCAGGAGAGGGCTGTGCAAAGGAGCAGGGGTCACAGCAATCCCCCTGGCTCTGCTCAGCCTGGGCAATGCCAGTGGCTTTGCTCACAGAGAGTTCATGGGAGCTCCAGCAGCTCCTATGGGATTCAGTCTGGTCTGGACAGCAGAGTGCTCCCACCACCACAGAGCCTGTGGAGAACAGGGAATCTCTGAGCTCCAGCCCCCCTGTTCCTGTCCACACATCGGTGAATTTAATCTGCAGCTGATCCTGTTCCAGAACATCCCACCCCTCCTGTCAGTGTGAGGGCAGGGGCTCTCCCAGTCCCTCTCGTGCAGTGGCTCACCCACCTTGGCCAGGCTGCAGAGCTGTGCAGAGGGCACAGCTCTCCTGCTCTGCCACCTCACAGTGCCAAAACAGACGGGCACCACTGCTGGGACATGGCCACAGCCCCTCTCCTGCCAGGCCTCCAGCCCTCAGCAGGCTAAGAAATAGGGTGAGGAGAGGATGGCTCACAAAACCCTGCTGTGCTGTTTCCCCCTTCACATGCAGGGCTGTTAGACAGCAAGAATAAAGCAAAGGGGGATCATTTCAAGCCTCTGGAAAGGTCAGGAGAAATCTAGCTGGTTTTGGGTTCCACTGAGATTTCTTTAATATTCAGGAGGCATAATCCTAAACAGCCAGGAAGTGTCTGAAAGTTTCCCTGAAGATCCCTGGATCACTGTGTGAGCTCTGGGAACTGGGGCAGAGCCAAGAGCACACGAATGGTGGTGCCCAGGACAGCCACTGGCCTGCAGGTGCTGCTCAGCTGCGTGGGCACACAGACCCACGTGCTTTTACTTGTGTCATGACAGGGAGGAAGCTTTCCCAGGTCCCTGAATGTGCAAATAAATCCTCTCCCAGTTGCTTCTTAAGGCAGTCCTGCCTTCTCTCTCACACTCTACTCTCCCAAACACAGCCATAATCCTACCCAAGATGTGTCCAAAGCCTGCTAGCATGTCAGCCACAGCTCACGAGTCACCCCAAACTGCTCACCTTTGCAGTCAGGCACCCTCAGCACACCCTTGGCCTGTGTGTGACCCCCATCCATCCCTCGGCTGACAGGTACTGTCACCCTTCAGCCTCTGAGGGACAGCCAAGCTACAACCTCAATCCACATTAGCACAGGTGGTGCTGCATGAACGCAGGCAGGTGCAAACATCACTCATCCCACCTGGACAGGTTGGTGAGGACCTGCAGTTACCTCCCCTCCACTCCTGCCCTTTCTCTCACTGGCCTGGGCTCTCCTTCAACAGAACAGAGTTACTGCGAGACCTGAACAAGTGCACGTATTCTCTCTTTCTAAAGAGAGGTAAAGAGCCATAATAATTTCCCATTTATTGAGCTACTGAGGAGAAAGAGGGAAAAGATTCTAATCCTGAGACAGAAGAGCCTGCACGTGACAAGAAAGGGAAATGAGAGCGAGGAGATAGTAATAAGGCAGAAAAGGGATCACACCCTCTTCTTTCTTAACCAAGAGCTAAATCCTCAACTCAAGGATGGGATTAGACCTCAGGCATCTCCCTCTGGCTCTTCTATCCACTCTCCCGGGGACTGCAGTATAACAGATGGGCACCTGCAATGTCTGATGGCCAACCCGTGTCACCCCCTGGCTGCAGACTGGTACAAATTCTGACGCTGGTGTAAACCCAGCACAGCAAATGCTGGGAAAGCCCCAAGACTATAAACACTCACATGAGAACTGAGTCAGGGAAGGATCAAGATTTGGTCTGGGAGAGAGGCAAGGGCAGGGCAGGAGGCACCTGGGCTGGGCTGTCCCTGGCAGCGAAGCCTCCCTCTGCTCGTGGGGTGTGTGTGTGCCTGCATCCACAGCTCTGAACCCCCTTCATGGGGCTTTACCACGTGATTCGGCTCTGAAGCCAGACACAGCACACTTGGCACTGCCCTTGGGACTCGTCTGGCTTTGCTGCCTTCCTCAGATCCTGCCTGGGTCAGGATGAAAGCTCATCCAACCCAAAACATGGCAAACGGAATCAGCAGCAGAGATAAACCCTGAAATCAGCCAAAAGGGGATTGAAGTGAATTTTTTCTGCTTGAATTGTACTTGAGGGCTTGGCCTGTTTTCCCTCCACCACTTCCCATACTATCCAGGCACTCCCAGCACTGAATCGTGGCCCAGTTACTTTTTCAACTCCCGGATATGCAGTGGACTTAATCCTGCAGCCCTGCCTCGCCTCTGAGCAAGTTTAGCCTGCAGCAGGTTGAAAGGAGCAGAGGATAAGAGCACTCCTAGGAGCCCTGGAGCCATTTCTTTAGAGAAGAGGCGCTGATTCAGCTGGTTGGGAGGTAAGCATTTGGATTTCTTGGGCTTCCCTCTGCCCTTTCCAAAGCAAACAGGTTTCCTCCAGGCAGGACCCAGCTCAAGCCCCAACAGCCCCACAGGGACCGTCACTCGCACCTCAACCAGGAAAAACACCCGAGCAGCTCCCACATGACAGTTCTTTTTCAGTGACATCTAGGATAGAAGAAAGTCATTGGCAAGTTGGAGAGAGGCAGTGACAGATGAGGAAGCTAATTACAACCGACCCGACTAATTAATGCTGACTTTCAGATTAAAAAATCCTCACTAGTGTTCCATTTCAATTACTCAGTTGTTCCTTCTTACGGGAGAAAGGGGGCCTTGTGCATCAGCGAGCCAGAAAGAAAGAAGGAAAGAAAGCACCAGGCTAGAAGGGGAAGGAAAGACAATTTCTATAATATGAGAGATTCTCATCGACAAAATAATTAAACTTCATGCTGGTTTCTCCCATGGGCAGAGCTTTCAGAGCAGAGTGGTTTTGTGGTCCTATTTGTATTCCTGCAAACTCCTGGAGTTTCTACCAAAGGTCCCTTTGTTCGCTACATAAAGTTCTGCTGAGAGGGAGAGAAGTGGCCTTTGTGCTTCCAAATCACCCTGAGAGCATCCAGGTCCTGCCAAAAGCCACTTCTGTGTGTGGATTCAGAGTTGCTGGTGCCTCCCAGGCCCTGCGGTGCTGGGGGACACTGGACACAGCTCTGGCTGTGTGGAACAACTGGAGGGCATCATTAATGTACCCACACTAAAGCAGGACTCCCCAGGGACAGCAAGACTCAGCATCAGTCTTGCTCTGCACTTAAATCATTAAGACTAATCTAGAAGTATAATTTTAAAACACAACCAGAAAGGGCCTTCTCAGGTCCCTGCTCTCCCTTTATCAACACAGCTGTAACTGCACGGAGTGCTGCAACTGTGCATGGAGTGTTGCCCTTTCCCAGTGCAGACTGCCTTTCATGACTGGGAAAATGAAACAGAAAGGAGAATTAGATATGATTTTCCTCTAATTGGATGTCTGACTTCCAGAGGTGTTGCACTCCTGGAGAAGCAAAGCAGGCCCTGGACACCTGAGCCGGAATCTCCTAAAATACTTCTCAAAACATTGGTTTAATTCAGCCATGAACCAGAACCTGTGCCTGAGGATACAACTCAGAACCTGTTTCAGTGGGATACAAGCCCAGAGATGCACATGCTGCTCAAAGGCACTGGTTTGATCTGCTGGCTGGGCTGGCTCCACCTTTATTAGTTCAGCAGGTTCACTTTTCCAGCTGCAAGCACAACACAGCAACAAGGGTTTAATCTATTTTCTTTCTGTGTGCTTTGCATTTCCCTCTCCACTTGCTTTAAATCCTTTGGTAAGATGCACAAAAACACTGCCAGACCTCAGGCACTTTGCAGATCAGAATGACATCA